GAGGAACGGGACGGAACGGAATGCCCATAGGAAGAGTGCACAGCACTAAATACATGTCCAAACACAAATGCTTGCCTCTGGCGGCTTCTTGCCTCTGGCGGCTCTGAGTGTACTGAATATTTGCCTCTAGTGGCTTCTTTCATACGAATTCTCTCGACGGAAGGGGGCTGCACCTGGGATCATCAGGTCAAGTCTGGGATCACCGAAGAACCAGAGGGGCCGACATCCCCGACCGATTTGGAGCTGGTCTAACAAGCGATATGGGCGATCCAAGAGCTCCTCCACCCTACGGTTGGGCGGCGTCCCCTGAAAGAAACTGTCTCATCACCTCACGACCTTTCTTAGTGGGGGCCAGACAAGGTCCAGCCAACTGAATTGCTCTACCCCGGGACCAGCCCCGCACTTGAAACAGATCCGATCCCCCCGCCTCGATCCTCCCTCCTCCCCCCTTCTCCCACCGGCATGGAACAGCAACGGGTCCTAAGGGAAGCGTGGCCTGGATCCGGGTGGCTTCCCTCGGGACCAGCTCTTCCTCCTGAGTCGTTTCTTGACGGCCCTCTGGGCCCAGGCAGGGTTGGACAGGGCCCATGGCGGAGGCCGAACACGGCGACAAACCTCAGGGCCCGTTTCCCTCAGGGCCGCTCGCTTTATTAGGTGAAAGAAGAAAGCCATGAACATAAACTGTGGGCGCCAGAGGCGCCGCCAGGGGGACCCAGCGCGGATCCAAGAAATCCGCGCGGAGCTCCAAAAGTTTCTGTCCATGTCGTTTCTTCTTCTTCTTCTTCGATTCATGGCCATCCCTGCCCTGCAATGTTTGCCCCCCCGCACGCAAGAGTGACCCTGCGTAAGAGTGACCTTTGGTGCGCGGCTTTCGGGGAGCCGCGGGGCGGCCAACTCTAAGCGCGCAAGACGCTGCTGCCGCACCGCGCTCGGCGATCGGGGGACCCCAATTGGGCCGCACCGAAGGCCACTCCAGCAAACAGCCACTCTTACGTCTAGTCGACCCCCAAACAATTATGTCTGTGTCGTTCTGTCTTCCCCCCCTCCCCCTCCGAGGGTGATGCCGCCGGCGACGTCTGGCTGCAAGAAGGCCTCTTGCGGCGGCGCGGCGCCGCCCTGGCACAGCGGATATGCTCGGGTCCCTGGTCCCTCTCCTGTGATCGTTGTCTTATTCCTTGTGCTGCCGATCGGCGCGGGCCCTCGCATCCCCCTCCCCCCCGCCCCCCCCCCCCCCGTGGAATAGATCTTGGCTGTTTTGAGCGCCTGTTTCGTGAAGGTGGAGTCTCCCCCTGAGGACGCACTGTTGCAGACAGTCTCATCAAGCAGAGGCCTGGAGCCAGACCCCCCCCCTCCGCCCACTTCTGCCCAATGTCGAAATGCCGAATAAGAGGACGCTCACCATTCGGTTTCTATCCCAGGAGGGGTTACGGCCTATTGTGGCCATGAATTCGCGAAGCGAGGCAGAGGATGATGAGACAGGAGGAGGGATGCAGCGAAGACATCGTCGGCAACCCCCGCAAGCTCTGCGGGATTATGTGCCACGACGCCTCCAGAATCCAGAATGACGTGTCCTTAGGTCCTTGATTGTCCGCGATGGTAGATCATCAAACGAGTGACAAGATGGTAAGATCACGGCCATCGATTCCCAAACGCACATTTGGGGTCTCGCGGCCTTCGGGGGCTCTCGGTGCTCTCCGAGTGACTTTTTGGGAGCCGCAGGACGTGGTTGGGCATCGAGGCCTCCAACACGCTCCCATGATGGCCACCAAATTGGAAATCGAGGCCTCCAACATGATCCAATGATGGCCCCAAGGCCCGTCCCTTTGGGAAACCTGTCCTTGGCCCCGCCGCCCATGAGGCGAAACTCGTACCTAGAATTTACGCGCAACCTGCGGGGATTTTCAATCATCATCTTTTCGGCCTCACGGGTGTCCATGCTGCCCCGAGAGGCACCCAAGAGACCCCCAGGATGACCCTGAGATCCCCAAGACGCCCGCATAATTTCACTCACGTATCCTTTCGCGCTTACATGTCTGATATCCTTCAGAGTGCTTTACTGACTTTTGTGAAGGTGCCGCGTCTGGAAACTCCCGAGCAAATCCCCATGATGAGCAATCTCCCAAACCAGACAACTAGCAGGAATCGGACGACAAGGAGGAGTCCCAACGGATGCTGCAAAATGGACGGAGGGGCGAAACGAGTTGGGGCAAGACACGCGCCGGCGAACCAACCTGGGAGACAGAGAACACAGGGCGAGCAGGCCACCAATCAAACGTGGCGTGCACTTGGGTATGTGCGAAGGGCAACACGTACATCAGGGATCGATGCTTACTGCTTTCCTGTTCTTTCTTTCTCTCTCTCTCTGCCCCTCCTTTCTGTACGTCGATACAAATATCACCAACTCCTTCCTGCCCCCCTCGAATAAAAAACGGCAAGAGCAACGCTGGCAGGACGCCCTTTGGTACTCTGGCACCCACTCCAAGGACGGCATGACGAAGATTAGCGCCTCCTGGCGTGTCGGTGCATGCGTTCGCGTGTAGATTGCAGGTGGCGCGTGCTTGTGTGTGCGAATGTGTGTGACTCGTACCAAGAGAAGCCCAGACGGGTCACGACGACAGGCCTAGAAGGGCGCTCTTGAGTGCTCTACAAGGGCCAGTGCCGCACGCCGTATGCTGTAGAAGTGCCGTTCAATCGCCTCCTCATCAGGGAACCACGGCTCGGGAGTAACTCTGACTATGTGATACAAATGAAAAACTCGCACGATCCGTTCCACGTGTGTGTGTCTTGACTTACTTCGCCTCGTCGCTGCGCGAGAGGCCGCACCCGCCAAAGATGTGTGTCGCGCTGCCGAGGGTGCACGTCCAGCCCCCACGAGAGCAACTAACCAAGCCCCGCACCTGCAAGAGTTGTCCACCCAGGCACAGGTGCACGGGGGCCCTAGAGATCTCTGGATGAAGCCGAGCGAGGCAATCCCCAGATCACCAGAGAAATAACGTGTGCGCACACTTGACGCGGCGCGCAGCGGCGGGTCAGGGGGAGGGAAGGCCTCTTAGAAGGAGGCCGCTTCTTAGAAGGAGCTGGCCCTGCATGTACAGAGAAGGCCCGCGACTTCTAAGAAGCAAGGGTGCAATGACAACACATTCGAAGCGGTAGGTGGATTGAATACCGAATCGCCCTCCCATTCAGGGGCCTGTTAACTGTGCTTCAAGCAGGTGGCGCATTCAGCCTGTATTTGCTGGAAGCTCTACGCTCTAGGGTTGTCAGTCGTGACAACACGCACGCCGGAACCTGAAACAATACCACAAAACAAGCCCACCCATACAACCGAGCACCTGCAATGTTAGACTAAAATACTACCACGCTCACAACGATAACCGACATTTGGAAATGACTCGCCCTCCGACCGTATCATAGCCACGACCCTTGTACGACGAATACATGCGGAAGCGGGACGCAAACCATATCGTGAAATTGACTCGCCGACCACCCGTGTATCCAATGAGACCTGATCAAAGGAATGTGCACGGCACCGAGGTGAGAACCATATGTTGGAAACCGGCCACCCTGCATCAGTGCCGTTGCTGGCATTCACAGAAGTCCATGGTCGTATCGTGCTTCCCAGCGTGGGCCCCAAGCAGTGGGCTCTTGCACTCTCGATGTGATGCAGGTTTTGGGAACGCAATCTGCGTGATGGACTCCTCTGTGAGGCGTTCTACGCGGGGGGCAACCGAGGAGATGCAAATCTGTATGGGGCAAGCACAAGCTGCACCGGGAACGCGTAACATGCTGGACGTAGAAAGGGCTTGGACCGAAATGCGGGTTGATCTCACCGACGCGTGCCGGTAGGATCCCCTGCCACAGAATCCGCTGGCTCCCCTGGGGCGTCAGTCTGTGAGGTTGGTGCTGCGCTGCTGCCTTGCTGGTGTATCGTATCTTGTCTATCCTGTCTGTTGCTTCCTGCTCGTTGTCTCTGAAATGCTGCCTCTTTCTACTGTCTGCTGAGGGGGGGTCTCGGGGGGGGGGAAATACGCCACCTGGGATGGCGTGCAATGCAGACGATTATACAATCTGGTATTGGCAAGCGGTGAACAATATACGTGCCAGCGGTGAATGATCAATGAATGGCACCAAGTGCGAACTGGAACCATCAATTCGCCGCTTCTTGTTATGGGCCACTAGCTGGCTTCGTACGACTGGGCCGCGCCAACGCATTATCATGGCTTTGTGCATTCCATACTAGAAGCGATCACCGTTTGTTCGCTGTTCCGTTCGTTCGTCTTTGCTTCGTCGGTGGTTTCGTCGCTTGTCCGCTTGCTCCCCGTTTGGTGCTCGGTGCATCGTGCGTTCATTTGACGCCCGTTCGTCCCGCATCCCTCCATCCTCTGGGCATCGCTCGGACGTCCATTGCCTGTGTTTTTTCGATTTCGTGCGTGTTTTTTCGCTAAATGATCAAGGATGCTCCTAGATGGTCCTCGCCGAAGGAAGGATGCACACGTCCGAGCGATGCCAAATCCTCCTCCGTCGGCCAGATCCTCCTCCTCGCCCCTCCCTCCTCCTGCACTCTGCTGCAACCGCAAACACCTCCGCGCGCCTCCCCTCCCCCACCCGCCCCCATCCCCCTGGGCTAGGCCACCGATTCTTGCACCGTGCCTCTGGCTTCATCTGGCCGATGTGAGCCGTGCGTCGTCAACTGAGCACTTTCTCAGGGCGGAGGGCTCAGGGTGAAATCCATATGGGCTTCCGCACCTCGAATCTCAGTCCGTCCTGTCGTTCACCTTTGCAGACTCGGCCCTCGAAAGGCCATCGAAAGGCACTTCAGATTTCACCCTCTGTCCTCCACCCAAAGAAGATGCTCGGGTCAACGATGGCCGCACAAGAAGCTGTCTCCGACTCAACGTGCCCGCGCGGGCCGCGTGCGCCGGCCGGGGGCCCAGGAGGCGGCTCCATCAGGTTGCTCTTCTTCTTCCTCTTGCCGCCAAGGCCGGACATGAGGGGCTCGCCTCGGCCCCAGGGCTGCCGCTTTTGCCCCAGTCTCCCCCTTCTCCTCGCGCGCGGCGGCAAAGAGGTGTCAGGGGCATGCCCCTCCTGTTCGGTGGCGAATGACGCCGACACAAAAACACGGATACCAAGTCAGATCGTACAGCGCGTTTTCAACGCAGCCAGTGGCGTATCGGGTGCAACGACACATTGAAGACACTTCCTCGCCTTTCTCCTCCCTCCCCTACGGAACGGCGGAGCAGGTGGCAGTAAGCATCATGCTAGAATTATGTTGCCCTGTGTCACGGGCTTTCGCAATCAAAACCTCAAAGGCGGGTGCAACTCAAGCCCGGCCCTAGCTACGTGATTGTGCCGCGCTCGAGTGCTCGACCCGTGGGCTGCGACAGGGGGAGGAGGCAACGACAGGAGGTGGATACGTGGAGGATGGACAAACGAACGGGTATTTTCGGAGGATGAGGAGGAGGAGGAGGAGGAGGAGGAGGAGCAGGGGAAGCAGGCGGAGGAGGAGAAGAAGGAACAAGAGGCGAAGGAGGGAGGAAGGACACGGCAAGACATCCGCATCGCGACAAGGCGTTCTCCGTAGCGGAGCGGGTGGGACGTGCCGCAAGGCACAAAGGCAAATGACTCCAGGAAGGGCCCTAACAGGTGGGTTTTGACAAACTCGCGTTTGCCAGTGAATAGGCGAATGTGCGGACGGGTCGCGTTTTCGTGGCGCGATGGGCGTGGACACACTTTGTCCAGACAACGTGCCTTCAAATACGTTTTCAGATGGTCATGAGGTTGACGGGCAACGTTTTTAATGTTGGTGCGTCTCGCACCAAACCCCAAACACATCAACAGGAGGGGGAGTGGTTGGGGGAGTTTGGAGGAACGCAGGGAATTGAGAATCAGAGCATCGGACTCGAAGGTGGGTGGGTGAGTGGAGTGGAGCGGCGTGGAGTCGAGTGGACTGGGGAGCATCTGGAAGCACTGGGGAGGAAGTGCGAAGATCGGGGAAGAGGGAGGTGGGATGCGAAGGAGTGGGAAGGAGTGAGGAAGGACTGCGGAGTCTGCAGGACTGCGAGTGGGTGCAGAGGAGCGGGGAGGACGAGAGGGAGTGCGGGGGGAGGCAGAAGAGGCAGGAGTGCGAAGAAGTGGCGATGAGGGCGGGGGGCGGGGTATATAATCCGGAGGCACGAGGAGCGGGTCAGACGGAGTGCGGAGGAGTCTGGAGAAGTGGGGAGGAGGAGGGAGGAGGGGGAAGAATGCCGAGGAGTGGTGAGGGCGGGGGATTGCAAGGAGAGTGCGGAAGAGGCGGAGGAGAGGGATTAAGGGCGACGGGCTCCGGAGGGTGGAGGAGTGCGGAGGAGTCTGGAGCGGTGGCATGGGTGGCGGCCGCAGTGAGCGGGGAGTGGGCGCTGCGGGGACAGCTGCCAGAGGGCAGCTGGGAGGGGAGCCCTCCTCGGCATAGCCTCGCGTTGCATCCTGGCCCAGCCCTCCTCGGACACAGCTCTGGTGAGTGGGAGGGAATCCACCTCTGCTGCTGCCTCCTGGGGCCAGCAGGCAGAAGGGGCAGAGGAAGAGGGGAAACACCCAAACACCAGAGAGGTCCCAGACGAGCCGCGCGCGGATGCAAGGAAGGAGCTCTAAAAGCGGACCCGCCCCGGGGACAACCAGCCAGTCCGTGCAAGGCATTCCGCAGCCTGCCCGCGTGGTAGGCGGTGACCACCAGATCCGCTCCTTGCCGAAACAGTCACCCGACCGTAACGACCCCAAACTCCCCAGACACTCGGGCGGCCTGAGCAGACTGTGCGGCCGGAGGCGGTGGAAAGATGGCCTCGGGGAAAAGAGGCACTGGGGACCACCTTCAACTGACCTCGTGCCTCCGCTCGTCTGCCCTACAGCAGGCCGGATCGAGCAGGGATGCAAGTGGATAACCAAAGCCTGGCATCCCCCCTTCCTCTCAAGGATTTTACTTCCCTGCGAGACCGATTCACTCCGAGCCGGGAGCCCGTCTCGCGGCTACATACGGCCCCAGGCGCCCCTGCCCTGCGGAGGGTCGGAGCAGAGCGGCGGCCGAAGAAGCGGTGGGCGATTCCAGACGAGGCGATCCATTCTGACTCCGGTTACCGCACCGACCCCAATCACCGCCGACCCGGCAGGCCAGGGCAGGCTGGGCTGTCGAAGGCTGCAGCTTCCTTCTCCCGCCTCCCTCCCACACAGACGAGCCCCTCCGACCTCAGGCCCCCAAAGCTACAACGATCCCAGCCACCCCGAAGCCCTCCGAGGCTGGGGCAGGCTGAGCAATCGCCGACAGGGGGGCAGAAAGAGGCAAGAGGAGAAGGAAAACATGCGAGGGGGGAAAGGACAGAGGGACAGGATCCTGCGTATCGGTCGAGGCCTGCGTCACCCCCCGTGCTTGAGCGCGTGGGGGGAAAAGCCACGCCTCAGGGTCAAGAGCTCCAGAGGACCGCTCACAGACCGAGGCGCATACGATGCGCGGGGGCCTGAGGAAAGGCCAAGCGCCCAGGAGCGGCCGAGAGCTCCCGGAGCGCCGCGAAGCCGGCCCCAAGCGCCAACATCCAGAAGAAAAAGCAGCGCCGCGGCTCCCATCACCGCACGCGAAGCGCGGCCGCGACCACCTGGGCACCTCCGCGCGGCACGGCAGAGACGCTGGGCCTCGCGCGGCACGGTATCCCGACGAGGAGCCTCAAAAGAAAGTCAATCCCCGCCCCCTCCCCCATCCCTTCTGGGCAGGCCCTCAGGGGCGCCACGGCGCCGCCGGCTGGCCCGCGGGGGGGGGGGGGGCATGCCGTGATGAATTCCATCCTTTGGCCCCGGCCGGGGAGTCCAGCCCTCCAGGGCGGAGGGGAAACGCCAGAGGGGGGAAAGAGGAAGAGCGCAGGGGGGCGAGGAGGCCGAAGGATGGCAAGGCCAGAGGGCACATCCACCCCTGGCCCACAGGGCGGTCAGGAAAGGCAGGCCAGGCCCGCGCGCCGAGGGGGCCAGGGGGAGGGGGGGCGAGGTTGCCGTCGCAGCTGCGCCTTTCAGGGGGCGCCTCCCTAGAAGTCTCTGGCGCTGCCCACCCCGCCAGCTGCTCGTGGCCTGGCGCGCTCGGCGCGGCTGCCAGGTGGACCGCTGCTGGAGATAGGCGCCCACACCCGGAAGTGAGCGAAGGGCTGCCCGCGATGTATCCCAATCCCTGCAGACGTCCAGGACGTGGGCGAGACTGCCGGCCACGGCCACGCTTTCGTCACATAAGATGCACTGTTACCGCTTGGCCCATGAGCGCTTGCGGCCCCGGCGTGTGAGTTTCAGCAGGCCTGCGCGGAGGCGTGAGACTGATCGTTGGGCTCGCAGACATGGGGCAGGGAACCCAGGGTAGAGTCCCTCCACAAGGTCCTGGCTCGGTGAGGCCGCGTTTGGGCTCATGGGTGGCCCGTCAGGGCCTGAGCACACCTGCTTGGCGTAGTGCTTGCAGGTCGCCCTGTTGCTCGCGTGCCGCGCCTGCCAAACACGCCAGTCCTCAACGCCCCCCTCCTGGAGAAGGCGAAGCGATGCCGCGGCCCAGGCAGGATGGCCCTCCTCCTGCGACCTGCGAACCACTGCACCGTACAGATCGTCCTCTGGCGGGGTCCAAATTGGGTGGCCCTGCGCGCTGCCACGTCCACTCCTGCGCGGCGCGCGGCAGTGAAGGCCCACCCCAGCTCCGAGGCTGCTACCGCGGCGTTTCTCCAAAGCTGGGCTCCAAGGAAGGCCAGCGCCCGACGTGAGCGCGCTGCATCCAGGAGTTATGGGGCCCCAGGCTGCGCGGCCAGCAGCCAGCGGCCGAAGCGGAAGGAACCCTCGATGACTGATTCGAACGCACCCATGGCCACTGCAAGGGGGGCCCTTCCATTGGCGGCTAGCCCCGCCAGGCTGGCCCACTGGGCTCCCGCCGCCCCGAGACGCCTGGAGAGGACGGGCAGGAAGTCCTGCCCGGGTGACCAGTGAAGGCCCAGTCACAGATGCCGCGCCACTGGGTGGACTGGCACCGGGGGACGACAAGCCAAGCGCAGCTGCAGACGCGGCCACTCCGACCTGCTTGCGGACCGCGTGGCTCCGCCAAAAACACGGCAGTGCGTTTGGCTGGCTTTGTGTGTGGCGAGGCCTCACACTTCCGCGCCCACGCTGCCAGCGCGTCCAGCGAGGCCCGCGCGTTGCCACGCGAAGACGCGAGAAGCAAGGGATCGTCCGCATCGAGCATACCAACGAGGCGCCTCGGAGCGAGGCGGTCGAGCGCGTCGAGCGCTGACGCCTCCAGAGCCAGCCATGCCGCCAGCGCCTGCTGCGAGGGCGGCAGCCTGCCGTGCTGGAGGTCCTCGCGGAGCTGCTCCGCGAGGTCCTCCCTGGGCGCGCCTGCGCCTGCCCACTCATGGCCCTGCCGCGCTGCGGGCACGGCGACGCCGAGCCCCACGCCTAGCCGCGCTGCCTGCAGATCGCGTGTGAGCTCCTCCGTGCAGATTGGGTAGGTGAGGGGGCCAATCGTCCCTCCCTCCGCTGTACCCTGGAGAACCAAGGTGGAAGCGCACGCACTGAAATTCACGTGGGCGCAGTCGACCTCCAGCATGCTGTGGAGCAGGGCGAGACAGCCGTCCCGTCCCCCCGCTAGCCTGTGGAGACTGTGGAGGAGCCCCTGCCTCCAAGCGCGCGGAATCGTTTTTTGGGAGATCGCCGAATCGCACAATGAGAGGACGCCTGTGGTCCTGTGGTGTTCAATTTCCGCCACGGTTTTATGCAGGAGTGCATGTGCATCCCTCGTGTCCCGTATGTGCCCACTTCGTCCTGGGGTGATGGCTGGGCGGACCACGGGGCTGAGGCGATTGAAGGGGATCCCTCCTGGAGTCGGCCCAACTGTGCTTGAAGCTTTCTCCCTCTTCCGCAGGCCCTTCCTCATGAAGCTGGGCCGCGCTGCCGCCTCTCCAAGAGGCCGGCCGGAGGGCTGGGTGCCCCAGGCTCCCCAAGCAAGTTCGTTCAAGGTGTG